AMMWYCCCCCCCCTCTCCCCGAGAACCCCTTCATTTGTCTTTATTTCTTGCCACAGCTTCCCCCCGCCACCCCAGTCTAAGCACAGGTTCCAGTTACATCTCCCTCTGAATGAAGAAAACAAACACAGCAGAAAACGAGAGCCCATATAACACGAACGATTTTCTCGCACTCSTGAATCCCAAAGCCCAAGCGAATTCCTGTAGCTGAAACTTACAGCTCTTACATCCGCCTCACTGTCTCAGCTCCTACTTGCGCCTCCGAAATCCCATTATAAAACCTTTCTCATTAAGCTAAAATAGAAGGACCTGAGCTGCCGAAGCGTTCCTCTGGCTCTGAGCTCCCYCAGGTGCTGCTGATTAACACCGGTGCCCCTGTGGAGCAGCGAGCAGAGGCTGTGGAGGCTCGCTGCCCCTCACTATCTGCAGAACCAGCCGGCGTCTCTCCGAGGAGAGGCTGKAGGTTACGGGCACCCTTTCTGCACCATCACAGACCTTGTCCGCAGAGTTCCCTCGCATCAAACACTGATGGTGCTCTAGGGACATTAGAGAATAAAASAGCAGCTTGTCCTTCGCAGGTGAGGTAAATAACTGTCTATCTGTCCCTTGGCACTAGCCAGCTGCTTTTAATTAAACTTGTTGAGTTTCCATCTTTCCCCTCATCTCTGTGATTCAGCCTCCCCTCACCATGGATGCAGACTTCTTGTCGAGCCTCGATAAAGCGGTAAAGAGAGAATTGCCCTTATGTTTACATACATGATGGATTTGATAAAAGGAAATGCTGCTTTTGAGAAGCTGTGTGAAAGGAGAAGCCCCCTATTGTTCTCCCTCTAAAAAAGATGATCGTTGTTTCAAATCCCGGGGCCCGATCTTGTGTAAGCATAAGATTCCTGAAAGAGTAACTGAACGAGTTAACGAGTGGCTGTGCCGAACGAGTGGCTGTGCCGAACCCAGGTAAAGCCGAGACGTCCCGTCCATCACTCATTTGTCCAGCGCTTTTAACTGATCTAACCCTGAGCAACATCTCGTTGACATCCAGTCTCGGTGTCCCCGACACCGCTGCCTCAGCGAGGCAAGCAGGGGTTTGGGTTTTGCGATGGCCGTGACGTGGCTCAGCGCAGAGCGACCGACTCCCAGGCCGGCGTCCAGAGCCCCGAGCGGCGGCAGGGAACACGGACAACGCCGGCCCCTGGGAACCCCGATCCAGCCCCGGCCAACACCCATGCTGGCCCGGAGCTGGCTTTTTGGCGTCTCCTCCGAGGGCCTGGAAGTTGCTTGCGCAACCTCCAGCCCAAATGCGGCCCCCCGACACGGCCCGACCACCGGTCCCGCAGGCTACGGGCTGCGGCTCCACAGGGCGTCCGGTAACCGCACCTCGCCGCCGCGCTTTAGGATCCCCCCACAGGTTCCCCCTTGGGTTCTGCTCCCTGTCCGCAGCGGTGCAAGTCGGGTACCACCGACCGATTGCTCGGGCGGGCCCGTGGGTCGGGGCGGGACGGAGCGGAGCGCTTGGCTCGGAGCAGGACCAGCGCGGATCCTGCCGTGCCCCCGTCCTTCCCTTCGCGCGGATCTCCCCATCCGTGACTGACAGAGGCACGACAGCACGACAATCGTCTGTCGCAGATGGCACGACAGAAAAGGAGCACCTGGCGGGAGGCTCCGWGGGATGTGTTGCGGCGGGACCAGGCTACCGTGATGAGAGCCCGTGGTGAGTCCGGGAGCGGTGGATCGGGCACGGCCTGGGGCAGCGTCGAGGCTGTTGCTTGTCGGTCCTTTTTCTGTGCCTTCAACGAGTTAATTAATGAGGGTAGTGACCGGTCCGAGGAGGGCTGCGGATTAGTTTCCTATGAAATAACCCCGTTTCGGTGTGCCTTTTGTCTCTGGAAATACAGCCGTTGGAGTCAACAAAGTCAATTTGAGCGCTGTTTCCCGCGGCGATGGTGAGATTACGAGCAGCGGTAATTCCTACTGCGGTGTTGGAGGAAAACCAGCGTGCGGGAGATCGAGTTYCGAGCCGTGTCCGGAGCCGGCTCCGCCAGGTGACTCGCGGCCATAGCTGCACTGGCCGCCCCGGTCTCTCCGCCCGCCCCGCGGCTCCGGAGCAGCCCCGCGCAGTGCGAGGGTCTCCGCGGAGGCGGGGCGGGGGACGCGCTGCGGGGGTGCGCTGCTTGGCGGGGCTCAGCCAGGGCCTCCCCGATGGCTGCGAGGAGCCGCGGGCTGGGGCGGCCGCCCCGGGGCACGGGAGGTGCGGGGAGTCAGGAGGAAAACGCGCCAAGAGAACAATCCGTCAGCAGACCCGGGTTATTGCTATGGCCGGAGTGGCTTCGCGAGAGGTGAGCGGTTTTGCCWAGTTAATTGGAAAGAGGCGTTATTTCCGAGAAGGGGTCAGAAAAGCGTGTACAGGGTGGACGTGGGAAGTATATGGGCTTGGTTATCCGGGATACACCCGTGCTACGCCCGTGCATCTTTTTCTCCCATCTCTCCGAAAGTCCAGTCTAAACTTTATCACTTAAATTACACACCGCGGGTCGTCGCGGTCTCGGCAGAGAGAGACGGGAGGGAAGGGGAAGCTGCCGGGAACCGGGCAGGGTGGCCCTGGCTTTAACTTGCCTAGGCTGAGAGAGAAGAAGAGCGAGGGACTCCGGCGGGACCCTTCGACGGGGACTGCATCTGGTTCTGAGTCCTYTCTCTCGGGTGTAATGCCAGGATGYACGTAGGTGGGAGTGCGGATCAGTTGCGCAAAGGAGAGATCTCTCAAATATTAGACGATACGATACAGCATGAAGGAAATACTGAACGCGGAGAATTAAAGGCTGTTTTAACGAGAGGGTRTTGGTGTACGGACTCCTCCATCAGAGACTGCACCGTGCTGCAAGTGCATGTGGCTGGGTACTTCCCTCTGCAGCCTTCTTCCGCGACACYGGTTCTCCCGTTAAAACAAGTCCTATAAGAAACTGATACCGCCTCTGTGGTCAGCTTACGAAAAACGGGCACAGAGACCAGGGCCGCGGTGAGCAGCCTYTCGGCCGGTCCCGCTGGGCCTGGCGCTGTCTGTGCCCGAGCGACGCCTCCCAGSGCCCGCCCGGCGGGTCCTCCGCGCTGCCGGCGGAACGGCCGCGGTGCTGCGGCGGGGCCGTGGGGACAGCGGGGACGCGCCTTCCCTTCAGAGGAGCGTCACTCCATCTCCCCCCGGCAGCAGCTGTCAGGAGAGCTCGGAGAGGCGGGAGAGAGAGGCAAGCCCCATACCCGTGCGGGACAAAGTTCACTTCCCCAGAAGCCCCCCTCTCTTCTCTCAACCATCTCTTTGTGCTACTAGGGTGTTTGCACACTTGCGAGTATCCAGAGATTTTTCATGTATAGATCGCGGTGTCTTGGGCTGTGGAGCCTCTGTGGGCTGTGGAAGAAAGAACCGAGCCAACGCCCTCAGGCTTGCTCTCTGCGAGTTTGCATCCCCACTCATTCCAGCCAGTGGTAGAAGATGYAGGGTTTGGACTAGCCCTGAATTATTGACTCTGGGCTGATTTAACGGGAAATAAACGAACTTAGTCTCTCACCAATTACTTTCCAAATCAATGCAATGCACCTTCCTTGGGTCAGGCTGTCTGTCTCGGGTTTGTGCGTCTACAATCTTTCAGGGCTGCAGACATGTAGCCTTTGTTTATGGTTTTTCCAGGGTAGAGCTCTGTGTTGCTTAGCTTTGAGCGACCAGATCAAAGGGAAAATTTCCTATTTCCCAACTGGATTGCTGAGTCTGTAGTTTCCCTACCAACACCCAGAAATGGATGCAATTTGGTTTTGTTTTAGCTGCTTTGTTTTGKTTTGGTTTTGTTTTTTTGTTTGTTTGTTTGTTTGGGGTTTTGGGGTATAATTTTGTTTTCTTCCCTTCAGGAAGGGGCTGGGGAGGGGCAGCAGAAGGCGAGAAGGGAGTCAGTGGGATGCAGCCTTGCATCTTTTTAGAGCGCTGGCCCTTGAACTGTGGGCAGAAACTCAGGGAGTAAATTCGGCATCCCAGTGTGGAACTTCTTCATTTGTTCAGATCTACTTATTTCAACTCTTATTCGCTGCAACTTTGAACATACAATCTGCATGAAAYCCGTGCGTGTTCTAATCAAATGTTACATTCTGCGTTCCTGAAATCGCGGTGAACATTTGATGTGAAAGTTGACTTTTTAAGCGTTTGTGCTAATTGTGTCACGTTGTCACTCAGTTAGGGAAAATGCTGGGGATAGAGGAAATAAGAGCAGCGATCAGTTTAAGTAAAAGAGTATTTTGCCCCTAGCGTATTGTAAGGGAAAGCCAAACTGGAAACTATGGTGGGTTGTTTATAAATACACAGGCACGAAGTTGCAAGGATGTTCTGGTTTCGCTGAGCAGGGTAACTTTATGCTAGAGGCCCCGAAATGTTTCCATGAGCTGTCGGGTCTGTGTGTCTGATTCCTTTCGCTTCTGTTTCTGCGATGAATAGTCACTCTCTGGCAGTGTGCGGGGAGGCAGGGGCCCGCCGTGCCGCGGTAGGCTCGGAGGGTTTTCGGGTCCTCGGCCGTGGTCGATGTGGACAGGGACCCCGCGGGCGGGCTGGGAGCGCAGCAGGAAGCTCCTCCCTGGACGGGCTTTGGGAAACACCAGAGGGGTGCGGCAGCGGGAGAGTTTTCCTGGGAGTTACCTCTGCCCCTCGCAGGCTGTCCCGCTGCTCCGATGGCCCCTCCACCGAGGCCGCGCCCGGTTGGGATCGGTGCCACCGACGGCCGTGAGCATCGGCTGCTCCCCGCAGGTCATGCCGCAGCTCGCTCTGGGGGACCCAG